ACACTGTACTCCACGAGGGGAAGCGATAGGTTATAAGCTCCCAATTTCACGAATCTGTGGTCAATATTATTATATAATATTATTATGAATATTTTTGATAGTGAGCTTTAAGTTTTCGTACAGATTGCCCTGATCTTTAATGCAATGAGCGGCGGTCAATACAAATCCTAAAAGAAACAAAATTATTTTCTATTAAGTAGTTTTTTGTACATATACTGACGTTTGTGAATCACAGTGCCGCCACATATAAATTCTACTTCATTACGAATGGCTGCCATCCAAGCAGCAGCCTCCCGTTCAGCGTTGTTACCATTCATAATTCTCATTCCCATTGAATTTTGGCAGTTATCGTCCAAGAATCGCTCAGAGCTCCTTTGAATTAGGAACCCGATGATCAAACTCGGCCATATTAACGTCTGCATCTTTTCGCCAGCTGAAAGAAACTAAATCAAGCTGAGTGCGATGAGACGAAAGAAAAGTGCGCAAAAACCGCTTATCAGAGTTTTAAAATTTGGCATTTCGGATTCCATGAAAAATTGTACGTAGTACAATTGAACTCTAAACGCGAAATACTGAGAAAAGAAAGCTATAGACTTAAAAAGAATTTGAACATATAAAAATATCTCCGAAATAACTCATGACTCACATCATATTATTAAATATTAATCGCACTAAAATATTATTGTAAACTTTGTAAGTTAACGTATGATCATTGATATATTTTACTATAAATCAAATATAAAATTGTGTATTTCGTATTTCACAAATTGCATAATTCGTAGTTTATTATGAAAAATAAAGTACAAAATGGAATCAAGAATTGATATTGCTGTGAAATCTCTCTTCCTGTAGATGCTATTAAACACACTGGGCCTGCACGAGCTGCTGCCGGCAACGTCACTGACCCAGGTGGGCGGCCAGTACTTCTGTAGCGCCACCCTGCCCACCTACGCCCTCTGCACCCTGTTCACCTCCCTGTACGTGGGCTTCAGCGACTATCCATTGGATCGTGTGAGTACGATTATATATGCGGGCCATAATTTAGCCAACAAAGCGCCCCGAAAACTTTTTTCCTGTTGTATGCTAAAGTTTTTATTGCACTCTGGAGTGAGCGGGCATTTCCCACCCACAAGGACGCACAGAAACAGACAAACCCCGGGCAGCAGCAAGAGCAGCAGTGGCATGGGCCTTAGTTTCGGTAATAAAAGTTATTTGAATTTAAATGCGTAAACGAGCTGCTCTTGGCCGGGCAAAGCTTCCTGGTTGGAAGTCAGGCCAGAACTACTGTGAACAGAAGGGTAACGCCGAACTAAAAAGGGGTTAATGGGCACAGGTACCAAACTTGTCAATTATATGGAATATATTTAGCTTTAACTTTGGTTTCTAGAGGTTTAAAATAGTATTTTGTGAATAAGTTGAAAACTACACAAATGCTATTGTCAGAAAAATTAAGTTTCTGGCACACTTAAAGTTTCCTTTATAATTTATTTTAAATTTATCTGTATTTAGTAATTCCAATAGAATATACATAGATGAAATTTTATAAATTGTTCAACAAATTCCATAAAAAAGATATTCAAATAATATTTTTAGAGCATCTATGAATCTAACTCTCTGTCATCTCGGGATTTTTCTGCTGTAATGTGCTACCAAAAGGTGTGCTAAACTTTTCCCCCCTGGCCCGGCCGAACAACAACTTCCATTCCTTTATATTCCACATTCCTCTCTCTACCTCCCCCCCTATCTCTCTCTCGCCCCTCAAAACTCCCGCCCCAGCTGGCGGCTTCTAACTAGAGTATAACACACATTACGTATACGCCACGCTGCCTTAAACACTTTTTGTTTCCCGCGCAGCACACGGTACATTTAAATTTTGTTTTGCCGTGAAATATGGCAAATAAATCGCGCTCGTGCAACGAAAGCAAAAAAACTTTATGGCTTATCTGTGTGTCCGGAGTGTTTCGGGGGCGCGTGCTTAAAAGGCTTACTAGCAACTGAAGTGAGTTAGGGGTCCGGGGGCGCCAAGTGGCGCTTGTAAGTTATTAAAGTGGGGGCTTTGGCCAATTGGCTGCGGGACCCTGGACACTGCAGTGCTGCTGCCGAAGCTGGAATTGAACATTTTATAGTTGCCGTGGGGAGCCTGAAAAAAGGTTAAAAAGTTCTCCAGGTTATAGTTCTTAAATCTTTTCACATATGCAGCCATAAATAAGCATTTCACGGCGCTGAATAATCCAAGTGGGCTTGTAAAACCTTTAATAAAGGCTGTAAATAAGCATTTGGCACATCCGGTGAAATAAAGAAAAGGTTATCCCGGTTATTACGCCTATTATTAAAGGTCTGCTCTTGACTCACCCAAAAGTATTGCATACTTTTTGCGGTCCAACTTAAAACTTACCTTAAGCTTGATAGTTGACTAGGAATAGCTGAAAATAGCAAAGCAAATACTATTTTTTGAACACCCAATGTCGTCGGCATCGCTGGCAAGTGAATAACAAATTTTTTCGGTAGCTACTGCCACTCGACACGAGTGTCAAGCGAGTGCAAGCGCGTGTCATATCTGTGTTAGCGCTCATAACTCCCATAAAAAGTCAACAGACCGGAGCCCCAGCAGCTAGAAATTGTTAGGCAAATATTCAGCAAAAAGACGCTGAGCTTGAGCAAATGGAGCGAGGCGATACTGGGCGACAACTGTCGAACTTGCCGCCGCTAGAGCTAGGGAGCCGGCCGAATAAATATTTGCGCATATTTAGTAACCTCCGCGGCCTCCGACGCCGACCCGCCCCCACGACCCTCGCAAAGTTCAACACTTTTGGCCCAAACTGCACTGCGTCGAATAAGATTCGAGCTGAAAATAAAAGATGTAAAGAAATAAATGCAAGCCGAAACGAAACGAAACGAAAAGAAAAACTCGGGGAAACACAAACAAGCTGGCGGCACAAAATTGCCAGTATTTGCCACAAGTTGCTGGCTGCTTGTAAAAAAAAAAAAAAAGAAACTGAGAAAAGAAAAACAGAACAAAGAAAAAATGGGAAATGCAACGGCCAGGCGGAAAATCAAATAAACATCAAAACAAAAAAATATGTCGCCGCAGGACGATGCATGCAACGTTTCAATGGCTTGTCATGGCAGTTTAAAGTCGAAGCGATTTACATAAAATTCTATAACTGAAGAGTCGTTGCATATCCTTTCCCTTCTACCCCCTCCCAAATAAAAATGGCAAACATCAGGACATCCGCATAAAAAAGTTTAGAGTTTTTGCGGATATTGTGTTTAAACAAGGATTCTCTGAATTAAACGGAAAACATTGATTTTAAATAGTTCCACTGACAAATCCCATTTATTTAAAGTAAACAAAAATGTTGATCGGGAAATAAGACCAAAAGCAGCTTATAAATATCTTACTTAAAATTCAGTTTACTTCTTTGATGTGTAAAAACCACTCAGAATAAAATATTTATCTTAAATTGTAAAACCTATCAGCTCGGTTTAATGAAAAAATAACAATAAAATAATAGGATATATATTACTTTATCTATTTCGCTTTTCAAAACATTGAATCAGCTTTTTGCTGATACTTTTAATATGGTTGGATTTTTTGATAGTCTTCTCAAAATAAATGAAAATGGGAAATTCCTACAGCTTCTCCCTCAATATTTTCTTTAGAAAACAACTCTATTTAAGTTGCCTCTTGTCCTGTTTCCTCCATTGCCCTAAGGCAATATCAATATCAATCTCAATACACTGAATGGAAAATTGAAAATGGAAAATCTCATTGCACTTACCTTAATCAGAGGCCGGGGCGAAGCGGCCAACAAATAAGCAGCTAATTTCAAAACAAATACCCGCAATATAAATTCAACTCCCCAGGCCGGAGCATCAAAGCAAGGACCTCTTGGCCTTTGGCCTGAGACCTCGCTCCTGTGCCCGCTCATGTGTGATTTTTACGGTGGGTGGTATGTGTGTGTATGTGTGTCTGCTTGTGTGCACTTCCGTGTATGCTTTGTGTCGCAATGAAACGGAAATAGCAGCCTGAGCACACACCGATACACCGACACCGACACCGACATGGCTGTGGCAGGGTGAGGTCCTGTTTCCGGCTGTTGCTCATAAAATTTAAGCGTTTTGGGAATTTAAGCCTAACAAAATGGCCCTCGTCTGTTCTCCTCTTTTTGCCAGAACATCTTGCCACGCATCCTGCAAACGACGCCGGCGGGCATGTCTCGTCGCCAGCTGCAGCACTTCGGACAGCTCATCAATAGCGGTAAGTCGGACATCGGACATATGCACAGGTGCACAGAGAAAATGAAATGTCAGGAGAGTTTCGTGATTTACCTATTAAATTTTGAGTCATTTTCAAAATTCTCTTAAAGTAATTTTGTAAATTTTAAAATAAAAACCGCATAGTAAACAAATTACTCAACAATTTTGGTAGTGAGGAATTATCATTGATGCTCTTTGTTTTGTCCACAGGCCAATTTCAGCAATACGACTACCGTTCGCCGCGGCTCAATGCGCTGCAATATGGACAGGCCACACCACCCTCATATCAGTTGGCCAATGTTCGCCTGCAGCTGCAAATCTTTCACGGCACCCGGGACGTGCTGGCCATTCAGGCGGATGTGCAGCGCCTGGTCAGAGAACTACGAAACAGCCGAACACAGATGTATCAGGTGCCTGGCTATAATCACATAGACTTTCTGTTTGCCATCACGGCGCCGCAAATGGTCTACGAGCGAATTATTCAGCAGGCCTGGCAATTGGACGCAACATCAACGGCGGCTGATGGATGATTTATGGCACAAATTATGCTGGGAAAAGGGGCGAGAGGGTACCTTCTTTCAGGTCCAAACGCTTGCCCTTCCTTTATTCAAATATTCTGAGCTTGCCTTGCTTTGATTTACATATATCTTTATATATATATATATATATCTTTTTGTAAAAGAAAAAAACAAACTCAAACAAATACAAAGAGAACTTTAGATAAACAGAGACCTCATAAGCTTCATACTTTACACTAAGCAATTACGTTAATCATAATGTACAATCTTTTTGTAAATTAACTGGAATAGTTGCACCGCCTCCTCTGCCACTTGTTAGGGATTGTGATTCGTTTTCCTGGATTTGCTGGCTGCGGTTTTGGATATGTTTCTGGTTTTCAGGGGGGAGGGAAGAGTGGCTTCGACAAATTAGCTAAGTTCAAAGCCAGCGTTCGATTGTATGGCATAGAGCAGCTTCTCCCGCATCTGTTCCACGCTGTTAAAGGGTGGCAGCTTCAGCAGATTGGTGCAGGTGCTGGCCGTAGGCAGGCGTTCCATGTCGCCAGCATTTTGTATGAAGAACGGTGGGTCCAGATCCTGTTAAAAGAGTTGAATGAGTTACGAATAATTTATGACTACGACTCAAATACCAACCTTGAAGCCCAACAACGGCGGCCTGGAACAGCTGGTGACGAACCTCAACAGATTCCGGCGCTGCATATCATCGAAGCCCTCCAATGCCGCCCAGAACGCCACAATCGACGGGTGTTCCGGTGTGAATTCGCCGCCGTACTTGCAGTGCTTCTTGAGATCCTCCAAATCAATGGGTATCTCAGCGCCCGAAATGAGTATCTGCAGCTCCTTGTTGCTGAACATGTACAGCCATTCGATGGGCAGGACGTTGGACAGGCCCTTGCGGAAGGCGTTGCAGTGTCGTCGTATCTGAACGTTCAGCTTGTAGTCGGCCATCAGTTGCAGATACTCGATGCGATTCGAATTGGTCACCGGGATGGTCTGGCCTTGGGGCTTCAGTTCCACAATCTGTGTCTGTCCCAGCGAACTGCTGGCCACGGTGAAGTCCAAATTCAATTCGCTCACATCGCCCGTGTAGTCCTTCAAATATAGCAGGTTCCGATACAACTCGGGATCGAGGGAGGCCAACTGATGGATGTCCACATCGGAGTATTTGCCGGCCAGTTTGGTGAGAAAGAATTCGGCAAGGGGCAGCTCCACCAGCAGGTTCTCATAGATGGCCTTGCCCAGGATGCGGCCAATGAAGTAATAGTGTTTTTCATACTCCTCGCAGATGTCCTGTACATTGGGATTCGGGTAAAGTTTGTTGTCCGTGGTTACCCTGGGGTTAAATTACACAAATAATTAGTTATTTTTTGGGGAAATATATATTAAGTACTCACATAAAGTAACCACGATTCGGATCAAAAGAAGTCTTGATCAGCTCCGACAGAAATTCACGAAAAACTCCGCCGCCATCGATGCCCGCCTCATCCAGACCCAGTCGGGATATAAACTGTATGCGGAACTTGAAGCGCAGATCGGGTTCTGGAAAGGATTTCAACATCTTATAGCGTTGCTTTAAATATATAAAGTTTCCTTGTAGAAAACCCACCATTTTCGGGCCTCAGCTTGTCGTAGGCATCCTCATACAAATGCGACCGCCTAACCGTGATCATTATGGAGGGTCCCTGCAGGAAGGCCTGTAGATTGCCCTGCACCCGTATCTTGTTCGCCGCCACCAGACCCTGAAGAATGCTCACCCGCTTGCTGAATGCCACCACAAAGGGAATCTCCCGGAGAATGGTGATGGAGCGTATCTGTTTGGTGGACATTGGCGGTCCATTTTCAAAGTCCTCGCGTGTAAAATCTCTGATGGGCTGAAAGGGTCGGATACCCCGAAGGCGACTGCTATGGGTCAGCGGAAGATCTGTGGGTCGATCTAGGGGCAAGTCGAGTCGACTGACTGTCCAGTGGGCTTCAGGGCAAAAGCCCAGGCGCAAGTCGCGCGTGTAAATCTGATTGAGCACAAATACAACAACGTTCAGGAGATTGGCCCAGATTTGCTTCTGATGACGCAACTTCTTGTCATCGGCATCCGTGTGCCCGAGGACACTCCGATAGTTGGCCAAATTGCTGCGGGTCTCGGGAAAGGCCAGCTCCACAAGGCCCATGCTTATGTCCTTCAATGTCTTGGACATTTGCACGATTTCCGCAATGGAAAAGGGCATGAGTTGGACATGGTCAATGGTGGCCTGGGTTTGCAGCAACAGCTTATTTTCCACAAACTCCACATCGTGCAGGGTGGGCAAAAGGCGTCCGAAAAGCATGCAGAAGGTGGCCAATAGGGGAATAGTACGATCCACACCTAGTTGCTTGGCTGCCGAAGTAATTTTTCATCACACAAAGAAGCTGAATAGTCAAAGAAAAGATACTCACGCACAACGCCCTTGGAAATGAGGGTTAGGGGAGCAGAGAAACCCAGTTGGGTGGATTCCGCCGCCAGCTTGAACCACACCGAACGGATGAACTTGGGTGTAAAGGCCAAAGTGTAGACTAACCTGAGGGGGAACAACTTGTGGGGTTAGATACACATTATAATCAAATGCAGCGTTGCCTCCTTACTTGTATTCGAAGACCGCATGCTTGTTGTAGATCATCAGGTTGTGGCAGATCTCGCAGAGCGCATTGATCAACTTACTGTTCTCGATGAGCGGATCCAGCTGCTGGACAATAAAGTCCACCCGCTCCGACTCATTCAATATGGCAATAGATTCTATTAGGCAGTCGCGTTCTTTGCCACTCAGCTCCTCGAATACTCGTCCAGGCTGCTGCTCCATGTCGTAATCTAAGCTGCTGGCCATGGGCTGATCTTCCTCTTCGTCCGAGTCATCAGACTCGTCATCGCTGTCCCTGTGGCGATGCGGAGCGTTGGCATGGCCACGCAGCGTGGACTTGGGTAACTGCAGTATATTGGGCATCATTTCCGCGATGAGGCGAACGTAGACAACCAGCAGCGAGCTCTGCTGCAAGGTGGCTATAATGGAAAGCAGATTTAAGATTACCTCTAGCTCCTACTTATACACTAAGAGGACTCCTCACCCAATTGCCTGCGATCCAGCACCAGGAGGGAGTTGAGTAGAAACGATGAGAACAGCGCCTGGTCCTGGGCCTTCTGTCCGGGTTCTGTTCCATGATAGAGAAAGCTCCGCCGGCTGGACATGGTTTCCCCAGAATCCAAAGGCACCACGGTCATTGCCGTCTCCAATGAACGCATCAGCAAGTCAAAGGGGAACTCGGAGCTCTCTGCGAAGCAGGGCAGCAGGTAGTACCGCACGGGATCCGTGTGCGGCTTGGCCAAAATGTCCACGATAAAGTTCTGAACGACGGCCAGCGACATGACCGAAACCTGGCCCCCAGCTGAGGCCCGACCGGCCACCGCCAAGGGTCGCAGCAGCAGCTGGAGCAGAGCATCGGCCAGTGGACTGGGCGCCTGCAGTGTCTCCCCGTCCAGCGGCGGGCACTTCTCGTCCAGCAACTGTCGCAGGCGCGAAAAGTAGTTGCGGGAAATGAGGAAGCCAAATACGCGCTCCAAGTACTTGAAGAGCAGTGCCTCGTCCTGTACATGACGCTGCACAGCCGATACGGTGGTAAAGGTTTCCAGCATACGCAAGGGAATGGCCTGCGCCGTATGCGACAGCGATAACTGGAGAAGGCAAGTGTCCAGCAGCTTGCATACCCTTAGCAGCCACATCGAATCCAGCGCAGAGTGCTGCAGCAGTCGACCAGGCTGTCGCAGAATCTGCTGGCATACCTCGATCTAAAGAAGGATGAAGCTCTTAGGGAGGGTAACTCACGAACCCCAGGGAGCACTCACCAGTCGCTCGCCATCCTTTGCCTCGCGGCTGCTGTAGAAAAAGTTGAGACGCCGTAGCAGGAACGTCAGGCTCTCGTCCTCCGTAATGCTGTCCTTGCGGGCCAGCAGAAACGCATCGAAGGCCTCCCGCTCGGCCCTCTTGGCCCGCTGACGATGGATGAAGGAGCGGGCATACGACTGCAGCACCACTGCTCCGTTCTCCTTCTGACGCAGCTCGTTACGCTTCTGGCGCTCCTGGGCCGCCTTCCGTATCACAGTGTCCCGGTCGCAGGTGTGAGAGGCTCCGCCCAGACTTTGCACCGGACGGCGGCGGTACTCCCCATCAAATCCGAACATGACGCTGCACTCTTGTGTTTTGTTGTGGTCGCTCCCAGATGGATGGTGCTTTCAGTGGAGTGGTGTAAGGTGAGTGGAGTGGAGTGGAGTGGTGCGGGCGCTACAGCTGATCCGATCCGCTGCTCGTTCCACCAGCCTTCTGTTGGCAACTGCTCTCAGGCGACGCTCCTCCTCATGCTTCACAGGACAACTGGGGACGTGGCGGAACGCTGCGATTCCGCGGTGACTGTAGCGCAGATTCTCCCTGGTCTAAATTCAAAGCTTGAACGCACTTTGCCTCGGGCCTGTCTACAAATTAAAAGTGCGTAAAATCCTAATTTGCGAGTGATTTGTGTATTTTTCTTGTATTTTCGATAGCAATTTATTTATCGACATCGGGGCCACCACTAGTGAATGGAATGACTGGCACTTGCTCACCCCCAGCAGCGGAAGGGGCGTTCCCGATTGTAATATCGCCCGAATTCGATTCGAAGTTTCTAGAATTGACGGTTTGGATTATTTTATTATTTTGATTTTGCGTAATATATTTTCAGGTAGCTAGACTACAACTTTTTTGAAAACAACTTGTAACTGTAAATTTGGCAAATGTGTTATACGGTCTTCCCACACAGCGCATTTGTGAGGAACGTTTGGGATTTTTCACAAATGTGAAACTCGTGTTCCCACACAACATTAAAGAGCATTTAGCATCCGAACAGCTGATCGATCAGCTGTGGCTCATGAAAACGTAAACAAAGGCTGTCGAATTGGCAGTTGCAAATTTGAAATGGAGCATTTACCAACTATTTTGGCTGTTGTAGAACAGCAAAAGGCACAGATTGCGTCAGAATTTATCCGCAATAAATTTAAATGAATTAAATGACAAGGAATTTTAGTTTTTTCTAATGATTTTTCTCTAACAAAGAGCAAATTCCCCGAAGAGTGTCTATAGGTGGTATAGGCATCCAAAATCTTTAAAATAAGGTAGAGGTAGGCCGTTTATATTAAATAGTAACAATTGGGGACATATTGGGGCAAGAATATACAGAAAAAACGCCAACATCTATTTTGGGCATGCTTGTAGCTTTGGCGCCACGTTTTAAATTCCATATCTCATTTGTTTCTCGCCAAGTTTGTTTACATTTTCGTGGTGAATGGTCAAATTAAGAAGAAGAATCAGAGTTGCACCGAAAAACTATCGCCTAACTATCGCCAAACAAACCGGCGTTAGTTCAGCATTAAAATCTAATGCTGAACTAACGCCGGGCCATTTGGAAAAATTCGGAACGGCAAAACCTTATGGAGCATTTGTTCAACGGATGCTAAATGCGCTTTAACGCTGTGTGGGAAGACCCTATTAAAGGATTTTTTTCAATTTTACCAATTTTAAATGCACGACTTATAGGGTCTTCCCACACAGCGTTAAAGCGCATTTAGCATCCGTTGAACAAATGCTCCATAAGGTTTTGCCGTTCCGAATTTTTCCAAATGGCCCGGCGTTAGTTCAGCATTAGATTTTAATGCTGAACTAACGCCGGTTTGTTTGGCGATAGTTAGGCGATAGTTTTTCGGTGCAACTCTGATTCTTCTTCTTAATTTGACCATTCACCACGAAAATGTAAACAAACTTGGCGAGAAACAAATGAGATATGGAATTTAAAACGTGGCGCCAAAGCTACAAGCATGCCCAAAATAGATGTTGGCGTTTTTTCTGTATATTCTTGCCCCAATATGTCCCCAATTGTTACTATTTAATATAAACGGCCTACCTCTACCTTATTTTAAAGATTTTGGATGCCTATACCACCTATAGACACTCTTCGGGGAATTTGCTCTTTGTTAGAGAAAAATCATTAGAAAAACTAAAATTCCTTGTCATTTAATTCATTTAAATTTATTGCGGATAAATTCTGACGCAATCTGTGCCTTTTGCTGTTCTACAACAGCCAAAATAGTTGGTAAATGCTCCATTTCAAATTTGCAACTGCCAATTCGACAGCCTTTGTTTACGTTTTCATGAGCCACAGCTGATCGATCAGCTGTTCGGATGCTAAATGCTCTTTAATGTTGTGTGGGAACACGAGTTTCACATTTGTGAAAAATCCCAAACGTTCCTCACAAATGCGCTGTGTGGGAAGACCGTATTAACGTTTACCACCTTATAAATTCCACAGGCTCAAAATAAAAACAATATTCGTTAATAAAATGTTATATAATCTTTCGTTACTTTGTAGACAAACTTTCTTCCCATAATTTCTACGTCAAAATAATTAAAATTGAAACATTTTTTAACGCTTAATAAATAATAATTATATACATATATAATATTTAAAAATCTAAAATACAAATAAAAACAAGAAAGAAAGCTAACTTTGGTCAGTCAAAGTTTGTATACCCTTGCAGGTAACAATTAAAATATATCATAACTAAGCCAAAAATGCATTAATTTCGAATCGGAAAGCAGTTTGCATACCAAATTTAAAATTTTAAGAAATCAAAATTTTTTGCCATTTTTGCTAATTTTAATGATGTAACCCCTTATCAAATTTCGCAAAAATGGCCAAAAAATCGATTTCTTCCGGACATGTCTAGAAAGATTCGCATGTTAATGCTGATCAAGAATATATATGGTTTATGGGGTCGGAAATGATTCCTTGACTTAGAAAAATATTATTTTGTATTATAAAATCGGATTTTTTATATTAAGAAACCTTTTGATTTTTTTTAAATTAAAAATTTCATAACTCGGCCAAAAGAGCATTAATTTTAAATCGGAAAACTGTTCTGTGCAAGATTTTCTACAGTTAATAAATCTGCATACTTCATTTAAAATTTTTGAAAATTCAATTTTTTATCAAAATCAAAAATTTTAATGATGTAACCCCTTATAAAATTTCGCAAAAATGGCCAAAAAATCGATTTCTTCCGGACATATCTAGAAAGATTCCCCTGTTGATGCTGATCAATAATATATATACTTTATAGGGTCGGAAACGTCTCCTTCACTACGTTGCAAACTTCTGACTGAAATTATAATACCCTACAAGGGTATAAATATAGTCAAAATTTGTTATATTTTGAAACTAAAATTGAAATCTGCTAAACAAGATAAGATTTGTTTTTAAGTTTAAGATATTACCTATTTTGCTGGATTAAATTTATTTATATTTAGTTAAAAGCTTTAAAAGACACAGTCAACTATTTGTAACATTTAAAATTAATAAAGTAAAATAACAAAATTTGCGGTTTAAAAAAGACTTGTATCTTCAAGAACGTTTTAATACCTCACAGATTACTTCTGCAAATAAAAATACAGATAATATCCCATAAAACAAACCAAGTTTTTCCATCGATTTGGCAAAGCACAACGTTGTCTTTAATATATGATTCTGAATACATAAACTGTACACATCCATTCGTAAATGAGTAAAATGGCTAAACCTAAACCACCTAATTAGTAGCTTCTGTTGTTTTCCAGTTAGCAAGCACCTTCCCGCTAATGAGAGAGCAGGAACGGGGCTCAAAGTACTTTTCAGACCGCGCACGCCTCATCCTCCCCTGAAGCCTGCGCCTACAGCGAGCTCTGCTTGCCGGCCAGCAGGTTCAACTGATGCTGCTTCTCAATGAGGGCGAGCAGGGTCCTGGGCACATCCATGGTCTGGTCGTCCACTAGGACTATGTCAAACGTATTCATATACTTCTCCATGTTGGCCTCCACGTGATCGAAAAGAAACCCGATTTTCATAATGTGCGAGGAAGCTGGAACACCGGCCGCCATGTCAGCATCGCCCAGGGAGTCGCCCATCACGATGATGTGATCCCGGTTGTGCACCAGGTCGTAGTATTCAGTGCCTCCAAGCACGGTTTCGTTCTTGTTAAAGGTATGAATCATTGGCTGCTGGAAGCCATCCAGAAGTCCGTCGCGGAACTGCAGAAAATTGGACACCACCTTCACGTTGGGGTGCATCACGTTGGCCTGTCGCAGCACAGAGACCACCGAATTGCCCAGTCCGGCGGAGAAGACGAGCGTGGGAATGCCCAGTCGCTGCAGGTCCGCAAAGAACTCGTGTGTGCGGTCACGTAGCGCATGCTTGTACTTCTCGGCTATCTGATCTATTTCCGACTGGTCGAAGGCGAAGCCGCTGGTCAGCTCCCCGGACTTGGTCCACCACTCGATCATGTACTGGACCTTCTCCGATATAGGCATGTGCGGATCGATTTCGATGGGGCGGTACTTGTGGTACAGCTTGTCCGTCTCCTCCTTGAAGTTCTCCGGCAGCGACTGACAGGCATTGAAGATACCAAAGCTGCTGGGCACCGCGCCGCCGTCTTCCGTCCGCTGTTTGGTGATGGTGTAGTCGAAGTCCGACACGATTTGCATGCGCTCTGGCCCGCCCAAGACGAACTCGTTAATGATGCGCTCCACCTTGGCCGGATCGCGCATGCGACAGTGGTCCTGTGTCAGCTCTGGTATATCCTTAACGCGCAACAGGCCGCCCGCCGGCTCCCGCTTTTCGTCACAGCCCATTTTCAGTAGTGATGGTGTTGTTCTCCGCGTCCAGCGTCCACTGCTCGCAATGTATCGAAATCTGGCCCACCGGTCGAAGAAAATGCGCTGAGCTTTCGGGAGCGATATCTGCAAATTGTTTAGGCAAGCGAATTAGTGTCGCCCATATATTCCCGATCGCCCGTGGTGTGAGTGTATTGGTGGTTCTATATCTTTGTGCATATGTATTATGCTGACCTTGGAGGTGTTTTCTTTTTGGATTTGCCAATTTTTTGTTACTGCGCCGCTGGACGCTGGGTGCGGGTGCTTATCAGCTGACTATCGAAGCTCTCCGATGATACCACAAGCTTTTTTTTATTTATAAATAAATAAAACTAAGCTAATGCCAGAATTTGTGCGGGAAACGCTGCGTAAACATTGGCCTTTTGCTATTCCTGCGTTCCACTTCCGCGTTCTATGGGGCAGTCAGCTGTGCGTGCGCGGAACGCGGTGAAATCGGAACGGCCAAACTGCTGATGCGTGGGCACCGTTATTTATTTGATTTAAATTTCAATCATTGTTTAATCTCTGCTTTGTTTTGCAATGTATGGATTTATTTAACACAACATATTCATATTAAATCGATTGTTTTACATTATTAAACTCAAAATATAGCTTAAATACTGAAATATATATCTATTAAATATACAATAATTTGGTATAAACTCTTTCTACAACCTTTGTAAGCCCTAAAAAGATGTAAACATTTTTAACTGAGAAAGGTTTTATTTAAAAAAAAATCTCATTACATATCTCTTAACTTTTAAATTGAGCTGCTGTAAATAATAATAATTTTATAACATAGTTGTGTGTATATTTAAAATATCCATAATGATAAACAGAAATCGAAAAAGAGCATTGGATGGGATCTAGCGTAGATCTTTAAACTAAAACAGCTTACATATTTATAATATGTATCCGGATAACGGGAGTGCATCTGTGTGTGTGTGTTGCTTAAAAACTAGGTGATTTGCGTGATGATGGACAGCGCCTCCTTGTTCGCCTCAATCTTCGATTATAATGGAGGCTGGGTTATGCTGATTTTTAGATGGCACATGAGACTCTGTCGCCGGCTGCTTCACCACAGACACCTGCTGTTGTTGCTGTGGCTTGGCCGTTGGTTTCAGCGGCAGAAACTTCCAATCGGCCGGCAACAGTGCCTTGAACTCGGGTATATTCGCCAGGTGGCTGCAAATAAAACAAAAATAAATCAAATTAGCATGGAAGCTTATCCAATATATAACTAATTTATAGCTCACCTATTGAGAAATCCGCTGGCGGCCATAAATGACTTGAAATGCACCACCTCGTGGTCGGGTATCTTGACTATAATGTCAGAGCCTATCACCTTGACCCGGTAGCGCGGCAATCCTTTGGCCCCTATGACTCCGTAGCTGCAGTCAGTGCCCTTAGCCCTCTGGGTAGTAGTTGGTGATGCCTGATCCGGACGAACTGCCGGCTTGCTCGCAACTTTTACTGGCAAGGACTGACGTTCTCCGGTGGTCAACAATTTGGTGTTGGGCAGCGAGAGCCGTGAGGATGGTTCGATGGTTCCTGCCACTGACAATTTTGGTGTCGATACTGAACTGGCCGCCATCGGTTTAGTGGGAAGGGATTTTCGCTGACCCACCGAACTGGCTGCCATCGGTTTGGTAGGAAGGGTTTGGCGCGGACCCACCGATTTGACAATTGGACTGGCAATTGCCGGCATTGATTGACGCTGGCCCTGAACACTTGGTCTTGGATATAGCTTGACGCCTGCAGTGGGCTGGGCACCAGGATGCTGCTGCTGGCGTGATTGCTGAGCCGGTGGAGTGGCCTTGACCGTGGCTGTTGTCCCCGGCTTCCTGAGGATAGACGTTCCTGCAGAGGCGCCTTTTAGTACCGATGGCATTGCTTTCGATGCTGGCTGCTTGGCCATTCCGCTCATGGTGCGTTTGCTGCCAATTTTGACGATGGTCTCGTTGTTCTGCTGGCACCCCATTTTTGTGTCCCTGCAGTTATCCAACTTTGTGATCGTTATTCCGCCTGGTGTCACGGTATTACCACTGCTCAGCAGCTCCTGTAGTGACTCGTTGATCTTGGTGAGCGGAGCCGATGGGCGACTGATCTTGGCAGCAGGTGGATGCGCCGCGGAGCTGGAGGATGTGGCGGCGTTTAACAAGGACTTTGTGAGCTGCACTTGCGGCGTCAGGTATTGTGTGGTGGTGGTGTTGGCAGACGGCTCGCCCTCTTTGGCGGGCACCTTGGAAATGAAGGGCATGAAACCGCCAGAAAGCTGGCAGGTGGTCACGTCCTTTGGAGGGCTGGAGGGCGGTGGAGCAACAGCCTCGGCGGCTGTGATCTGCAGGGCTCCGCTGGTGGGCACTGTCTGTATGGTAAAGTTCATTCTCGGGTGCTCCTGCTTAATTTGGGTAACTGTTGGTTGCTCATCGGCGTCCACCAATTGGCCCGCCACAAGCTGGTCATCGTCGTCCTCCTCCTCCTCTTCCTCCTCCTCATCGCTGTCGATGATCACCACTGGCGGAAAACTGTTTGTCGTCTGCTTTTCCACTTTGCTGGATATTTCCACAGACAGATGCGAGGGTATCTTGATCGGCTGTGTCGCCTCCAACTTAGCCGTTGTTGATTCATCTTCGATCTCGAAGTGCACCTGCCCGTTCAGGTGCAGCACCCAAAAGGCCATACTCCGGCGATGGCGCTGGACGGGTATGCCGTGATCCTTCTGGTATGCCTCACGCGTCATCATCTTCCTGTCGACACTCTGCAGGAGCAGGAGCACCGGCGGCGGCATGTCCAGGTGCAGCGGTCCAAAATAGATCTTCTTTTTGGAGGAGGGCGTGACGAAGGCGTCGTAGGGTGCATTGGGAAAGAACTGCAGTCGCACCACCTTTTGTGACTCAGCAGACATTCGCATCACGGTGTGGATCCGGGTCAACGAGATCATGTCCCCACAGGCGGGAACGAAGATGTGCGAGAAGTCATCAAAGATGTCGAGCACCACCCAGCGATGGTCGTAATCGTGCAGCTCCGGTATCTGCAGTTCGTCCACATCGCTGTGAGAGACCTTCCGGAACTCAATGTTGCTAATGCCCAAGGTGCTAGTCTTTCTCGAGGCCGATGGTGGAGCAACAGGAGGAGGAGGAGTGGGCCGGCTGGAAGCAACGGCAGTTGAAGATGAAGTCGCTTCAGCCCTCTGCGGCTCTGCATCTGAAGCACCTCCTCCGGGAGCAGCCTTCAGCTTGCGCTTGTTGGGCAGCCGCTGAGCCTCGGGCACTGGAGACGTGCATGTGGACGACGACGCTTCCCCGCCTCCCGGCTGCACCTTCCTCTGATGCTCCCGAACGCGCTGCTTAACGAGCAGTGAGCAAAGCACATTGATCTTCCTGGTTAGCAACGGATGTGTCTGCGGTGTGGGCTTGGTGCACGCATTACCCTCCATGAGCCGCAGGAAGCCCTTGACGAGCCAATAGCTCTTCCTACCCTGCATCACCACGGCCAGTCGGTTGGTATTCTCGTTCCGCTTGCCCTCTATCAGCAGCGATGCCATCAACGGCAATGACCGCTGGTCGGTGGCAAACCTGGTGTTCACCACACCGATGGCTCCGCACACCGTGGGCATCTGATTGGTGATGGTGGCCGCCAGAAAGTTGTGCGTCTTCATCTGCACAATCCAAATGTAAACGAAGCCCGACTCGAAGGCGGCCAGAAAGTTGGTCCACTTGATGATGCAAAGGATCTCCTCGTTGGGGACCGGAATGATTTTACTTTCGCGTTGCAGGGCCAGGTCAATGTCCTGCATCTTCTTACTGACCAGGGTGTTCATATTCTTCACTACCTCGTTGTAAAAGGATCGGAACTTGGGCGAATCAGTTTCGTTGGTGCTATTAACTGACATGGCCACAGCGGATGCATTGTTGGTCATTCCAGAACCCAGGACATCCACAGAAGCGGCATTCAGCGAGTAGCAGGCAGCTATGCGGGGCACCTGGATGTCCGATTTTCGCGGGCTTTGGGGTTCTGGCGCCGGCGCCGGCGATTCCTCTACCTGGAGCTTCATGCGCTTGCTAGGCTTCTGGCCTTTGGTTGACTTTTCGGCGCTCCTCTTTAGCAGTAGGCTGCTCACCTCGCTACCATCGGAATCATCTCGCACCTCGATGACGGGTGGGACATTGATGCCCACCTGCTTCCGTCCCAGCTCTCGCTTCCTTTGCCTGTCAATTTCCTTCCGGTAATGCGTAATGGCCCCCGAAATGCGACTCATAAGCAGCTCCCTAGTTTCGGGCGTCTCCTGGCGCTCTATATAGTGACGCACTCGTTCCGCGCGGCGCTGATTTAGACGCTGATAGGAGTTCTTTGGCACGGATATGGCTCGCCGGCAGATGTGAGGACGCGACCGAAAGTAGCTAAATATCGTGTCCAGCTCAATGGAACGCTGAATGGGGCACTCATCACCGAATAAGTTAGCCTTTTCCCTCGATTTAAGGTCCTCCTTGGTGTCAGTCTTGGGCTCCTTCTTTTCAGACTTTGGAATATCCGAATCCGATTCGATTTTGGGCTTCAGCTCAGTCTTCCCCTTGAGTTTCTTTTCCTTGCCACCCTTTTTCTTCGCCGGCAACTCCTCCGTTTGTCGCTCAAAGCTATAGTGCGCTCTGACGGCCAGATCTGGATTGAAGTGGGCCACCGTTGTGTTCCACTGCTCCTTCTCGATAACCACGGGCTTGCCCTCGGTCGAGTCACCGCCGCAGAAGCAGTTGTACAGCTGGTGGGTCATGCAGAAGGTGGCCAGGTTGTCGATGTCTGTCAGCCGGCGCAGACCCACAGAGCAATGCTTCAGCTGGGCCAGATCCGTATCCTTGACAGTGCAACGTTCCTTGAGAATAGGAGACTTTATCTTGGCATTCGCAGCGGCAGCGGCAGCAGCAGCAGCTGTAGCAGCAGCTGCCGCGGCAGCAGCGGCCAACTTCTTTTGCTTCTTCGAAGTGGGCGACACAACCTCGATTTCCTGCTCTTCAAACATATCGGTGTCATCGAAATCCTCATAGCGCTTGGGGGCCTTGGTGCAGCGGCGCTTTTTGTCGCCTTGCGAATCATTGATCAGCAGCGTCTCATTATCGCAGAGCACCAAGGTGGAGGTGAAGTCCTTCTCCATTTTCGCCAGACGGGCCGTGGCCTTTCGGCGCAAATTAAAGGCCTCATCATTTGAGATTCCGAGACCCTAAAATTGAGGTAAAATACAGAAAGAATTAGCGGGGATATTGTAATCATCATAAAGATGCTTACATCAGCCGCCTCCACGCGCATAACACGAGCTTGATCCGCACCCAGGCAACGGCACTCTAAGACGCATTCGGGCCTGCCGCAATGATCCCTCAGAGGTAACTCTGTGCCTGCCAGGCTGGCGCAGAGGCAGCCCAGCTGGCAATGATCCTTAATGCAGGGCTTGTTGGCTGGAAAATAGAGAAAATAAAGTTTGTAGATTATCATTTCCCTGAAGAATTAATATTTAAAGTAAGGGAAAGATTCCCCATACTACTTTTCTTGTCTCTAATATCAGAACCCCAAAAAGTTATGTAAAGAAATGTAAACTCACCATCAGCATTCCTGGCAGCGGCGTCTATAATGGTGGCATTTAACCGACGCAGCTCGTTGGCCAGACGCTTTTGCTTGTTGGGCAGTCGCTTCGTCTTGCCGCCGGCCAGCTTCTCAGACTCCTTGCCACCTTCATCCTTCGTAAGACCCAGCTCAGACGAACGTTCCCGGTTGGAACTCTCAGTCGCCGCATCGGGATCCTCGCTTATAAAGCTATTCTCGCTGCAGCTAATGGCCACCGTGTTGATCATATCGTTGATCATATCGGCACAGGCCAGGAGCTCGGAATCTGGTTCAAGCGGCAGCTTCGACCGGAAAGTGAATTCCTGTAGTTTCTCGGGTATCTCGTTGAAACTGGCGTCTAGCTCTTCCGATCGATCCACCACCCGCCGCACCAGTATGTGATTCCGGTCGTTCAGGTAGGGAATTACGAACGTGAAGCTCTTCCGACGACCGGCTGGCGTCTGGGAAGCCTGTTCCTCCGCATCCTTCATGCAGACGGGCGGCTGTTGCAGCGTGGACACACTGAACTCGGCCCATTCCCGTGTGATGTCATGATGGGGCAGAATGTGTTGCAGATATCGCTTGGCGATCTCGTCTAGAGGCCGACCCACCTCCGGCATCACGTCTAGCTGTACGTTCGGCATACTTACAACTGCCATGCTGCCGCCGGCGAGCAGCAACGCGGCCGTGTCGTCGTCCAGCGGCCTCTGAAGCGGTTTTTTGGATAGCGGGCAAGGTCGAAAAATGGCGGGTAGGGGAAACTGATTAAGAATCTTGGGGTTCCTCGGCAAGGCCGCTTCGGTTGGAATCACCGTCAACTCTTCTTGGATGCGAGCATCCATACACTGGTCGCTGCACTTTAGGCTGGCCAACTCTCTGCGTGTTAGATGGCTCAAGTAGGGATTCTTCTCGCGCTGCAGATTATTGCCTCGCGCACCGGGTAGGCGCACCATCGCACCGTCCACCTGCATCACCTGGAAAGAAATTGATATTATGTTAGTATAGCTTTAAAGGGATTTGTATTTCGGAATACCAACCTGATAGTAGTACTTGGAATTCTCGGTGGCCACATAACTAGCCGCCTGCCAGCCCTGCCGGGTGAAGGGCATCTGGGAGTCGGGCGCTTGCAGCGCCTGCATGGCGCCAATCTTCACCTTCCGCTGCCGCTGCTTGCGCTGCAGTTCCCGGTATATGTTGGCCTCGTTGTTAATGATGGCCATCTTCTGGTTCTTGCAGCGCTGGAGGTACTGTCGCCGTTCGGCCACTGTGCGCAGACGTTGGAGAGCTTCCGGAACGGCGGGCATGTCCATCGGTGGCGGCATGCTATGCGACGTCACCTGCCCGTCATGGCCCATCGGTTCCAGCAGTTTGTCCTTCTCCTCCTGCCCTGAATCATTGCTGTAGTGTTCCCGCATGTAGGCGTCCAAGGTGTCGCTAACAAAGGCAGAATTTCTATCCAGTGTCTTGCAGTTCTGCGGCACCAGCGGTGTTAGCAGCATTCCAGGCTGATGGACGCTCTCGTCGAAGCCCACAAAATCCTCGCTGCCATCGTCCTCGAAGACGACGGGCAGGGCCGTTCCGCTGGTCTCGGATGGTATGTTATCCTCGCGTGCAAAGGTCTTCACGCGCACCTTGCTGATGAGCATGTCCAGGAATTTGCTGCCACCGGCTTTCTCCGATTTTTCCTGCCTCTCGGCACTGGAGCATGTGCTGGTCTGGTTGCTCTGCTCCTTGCTGGGTGTGGGCGGGGTGGGTGCTTCATCCTGGGTAGTGGTTTGAGCAGACGACTTCTTGGGCGTCCTTTCATCCGCCTCCTTTGATTTGGCAATGTCTGTCTCCATGGGTTCAGGGGCATTTGATTCCTCCTCGACGGTGTCTGCCTCGTCTGTCTTTTCCGCTATGGGTTCAGTAGTTTCTGATTCCCTTTCTAGGTCGCCCTCAGAGTCTGACTCGGCTGGCTTTTCAGACAGGACCTCCACATTACGATTGGTGTCCTCCATTAGTGACAGCCCCCGCTTGCCGCTTTTGAGCAGTTCCAGTTGCTCCTTCATCTGCTTGGTAACCTCCTCGGCAGCTAGCGGCTCAGGCACACTGTATAGCTCCATCTCCTCGTACTCCTCGATCCGGCCCATCTTTTTGTAGTGACCGACCAGACTGCTAGACCACTGGCGCACGTTCTGTAGACGCCGCTTGATCATCCCCTTCAGACGGGGATCGAAGAGCAGAATGCGGACACGTCGCACAAGGCGAACACGGTGACTGCGCCTCCGTCGCCAGGCATAGGTCCTGAGGACGCAGTGGGCTCTGAGCGCGTAGGTAATGAAGCGCTTGGCATTCCACCAGTTACGGTGAAGAAAAGCCTGGGACACGGGATATTTGCGCTTGAGGTGACGGTATTTGATCAGTTCTTTGCCCTTCAGTATGATTGGAGGCAGTTCGTTAGTCATGCTGCAAGCGGAAAATGGGAAAATTCATTATTACGCAGCAGAAAAACTGTAACCTCAAAAACTAGTATTGAAAATCCTGACAATGGACAACACTGGCCGGAATAAGAAGTGATCACTATTCCCAGCACTAGGGACCTGTCAAAGGTTGGCACAATGTTAATTATTGTACTAAAAAGGACGAGATCGTCGTTAAACAAATATTTGGTAAAGAAAACTAGGCAACACTGTTGGCCTGACAGCAGATACACACAACGGACGAAACTGCATTTACACAAAATAATGGCACAAGCTGCACACACACACACGGACGGACAATTCATTTACCATTCAAATTATTAACCATTATATTACGCACTTTTGCAAACAGACCCCGAAGTATCACAGAAACTGTAAATGCACGCAGCGACAGCGATGGCTGGTGGGGGTTTAGCGCCTATTCACAGCGCCACACAGGCACACACGCCCGAACGATGCGAAGAGCAGGCGGCAGCGAGTCAAAACATTGCTTTGGTTTTTCCGCTCCAATGCTGACTATAAACAACGGCCGAAATGTATTGCACTAGGCGCCGTCACAAATACATTAAATACACCTCGCGGAGCGAACAATTTGGCAGCGAGTTTGTTTGACAACGCGTGCGAATTTGCGATCAGATCACAAAACATCCAGATTCCGACTCACAACTTGCATGTGTGTGAGCGTGAGCCCTGGGCCCTCTCCATTCCAGGCATTTCCGCGGAACGGATGGCAACGAGCTAGCGGCTGTTGTTGTTGCACTGGCAAGTGTGAGCGAGAGAGGGGAGCGGTGCGGTACACGTGCGCGCTTCGATGACCGATAAATGTGTTATATAAAATGCAAGAAAAAGGTCAGAAGAAAACTTCGTGAAAAAGTCCTTATTTTGCAACACTAAAAGTGCGAGAAAAATTGCTTACAAAGGCTTAAATATTAGCATTAGACGGCTAAAACGAAAGAGACCTCGAAGAAAATCACTTTTTCAAACATTTATTTCCCTGTAAAGAAATATACTAAATAGTATTTAAATAAGGAACGGCAGCAAAATATGACTTTTTCACGATTGACAATCACCAACTATACATCGTAGGCAACTTATCGTAAAAAGTACTCGGAAATGGGAATAAAAAATTAAATTAATTAAGAGGATATATTAGATTATACGCAAATAAAGATATAAATAAGTCCAGCAAGAATACATTCGTTTAACACAATGCTAGGTTTAGTGTTGGAAAATACTAAAATATTGACTGCGTGCACCTGCACGATCCAATCAATAATTAATCACAATGGGCTTTTTTTCACTGCACCGTTACGTAACTATAAGCTACTAATTTAGGTGTATTACAGAATATCGCTCGCTCGTTTACAGAACACATGTAAAATATTTTTGGAGAGGCCCAAGTCAAAACTTTTGCGGAAAACTAATCAATAACCTCAAAACTGAAATCCAACATGGCGTCGCAATAGATACATACACAAACGATCGCATGCGTCACCTGAAATCACCCTCTCGGCTCCACAAAAATTCCCCTTGCCGGTAGTGTCCTGACAAAGTAATTTAAAACGCCTTTGAGGCCACGTACCTGCACTTAAAGTGTCAATTAGCCGCTTGCTAGCTTCCCGACAGTGGCAAATCCGTCTTCGTGTCGCAATAGTTGAAGTTATTTTAACAATTCACAACTCACAGCTCGCGTTGACGACGCGACGAGAAAAGCATACATACACAAATAGTGACAAACATACTGCGATAAATCCAACATGGCGACCGATTGGCAACGCGCCAAGGGATGATGGAATGAAACGCAGAGCTGCACAGGCGGAAAATTATGTTTAGCGAAAAACGTGTTTAACAACTTTAAAGTGCGTCCCACGACCGAAAAGGGAAACTAATAAAGAGGATCATTTGTCACGTTGCCTTTAGCACTTGGAAACGAGTCAAGTTTATGTTTACAAACAAACGGCCGCTCCCCCTGCTGTGCTTCTTCTTCCGCTCTTGTTTTCGACATCCCTGGCCAATGATTGCCGCCAAAACCGTTGGCCCAGAGAATTCTGCTTGTTTTTAAGGTTATAAACACGCATGACCTAATCCCACCAAGTAAATATCACGTGTTCTTTGTTTACTTTTATTTACGTTCAGAAAGTCAAGACACAAACGAAATATAAAAACCTGGATATGCAGTACTGTACCTGAAAAAAAAATAAAAAGTATAAAATAGTAACGAAAATAGGGTAACTGGGAAGTCATATTAATCATTGTTTTTATATTTTCAGCAGGACCTAATTTAGAGGATTGTTTTTGTTGCGGTTAATGTGAAATCATTACACATTTTCAGCATTCCTTTCACATCATCTAATCATGTACTGAAGAAAATCAAGCGACAAGGAAAACCAACCTTTTTTTTAAACAATTTTGGCCGAAAAATGCGGGAACGGTGCCGAGGACTGAAAAGGAGGAGGAAATTTACTTGGATTAGTTATTGTTAGTATGAACAGGCTTTTTTTTAGATGGTTTAATATGATCAGTAGGACCTATTGGATAAGGATTTGTTGCGGTTAATGCGAAAATCATGCCACATAATTCAGCTTTCCATTCTCATCATTAGCAATAGAAACAATAAGAAACCATTAACAATAATTACCTTGGCCAGCCACAAAAGCATGCATTGACATCTGAAAGATAAAAAAGAAAGAAATTGGTTTTAGCTAAAAGTTTAAATATAATTAAAATATTGCGAGGGTAATAAAGTTCAGTAAGACCAATCTCGCATTCAACAGGAGAAGTTTCAATTTTCAGATAGGGGCGAAAGTTTAAAACTCATCACTATAAACAGATAGTAAGCTTAATATAAAAAAAAAAAATATTTACCTGTTAACTGTGACTTTAATTCCGGCTTGATGCACATAAAACGAGGTAATCTGTAAATAATATACATATATATTTAGTAAAGTACTTGAGCAATTTATTAGTTTGTTCCAGTGAGTATAAATTTCAGTAAGACCAATCTCGCATTCAACAGGAGAAGTTTCAATTTTCAGATAGGGGCGAAAGTTAATACTCATCATAGAAAATTGTGATTTTATATAATACAAAATATTCTTACCGTGGCTTTTAAGCTCCTGAAAGCCAGTTTGAGGCCATGTCCTTGAATCGAACTGCAGATAAATATAAAAAATTCCTTTTTAATATTATTTCATTTAAAATATTTATTTTAAAGTGCTATGGGTTTCAGTAAGACCAATCTCGCATTCAACAAGAGAAGTTTCAATTTTCAGATAGGGGCGAAAGTTAATACTCATCAGAAGAACTTATTTACCAAAAAGTAAACTTAAATTCACACTCACCTTAATTTCAATTGAAAGATAAAGAAGCTTCTTCACTTGGAGATATAACCAAACTGAAAATATAAAAATTATTAACATCGATTTAGCCAACGAAATATGGGAAAACAAAGAAACTCAAATGCGTTTGCTTGCTTTTATCTTCAGTAAGACCAATCTCGCATTCAACAAGAGAAGTTTCAATTTTCAGATAGGGGCGAAAGTTAATACTCATCACAGAGAAAAGCAAACGAAAGCATTTGAAAAATAGAATGGAATATTTAACTCACCGCGCAGGCATGGTGGTCCGCCTAACAACTGGAAAGCTAAATAGAACATCTAGAATCTTGAAAACTAACAAACGATTTTGTACAATAACATTTAGTTTATTGCATTGCGAATGTCACTTAAATGCATCGAAAATCTAGTTTTGTATTTCTACACATAAAAACACTCCTTAACTTAGTAACTATGCAAATTTGTAGGCGTGTCTCTACAAAAAACCGTAGAGTTTTCTACTTTAAAACCTAATCCTATAGAAACTTGTTATTCCTGATCTTCTCTGTCCCTATCCTTATCCTTCTTCTTCTTTTTCTTCTTCTCTTTTTCCACTGGCTCCGCATCGCCGGATGCAGCCTCCTCCTCAGCAGCTGGGGCCTCTTCATCGCCCTTGTGCTTCTTTTTCTTCTTCTTTTTGTCCTTGGACGGTGTCTCTTCCGAGGCAACAGGTGCCGCCGATTCCTCTACACTTGAGGTACTCAGCTTGCGCTACACAGTAAAAAAGTATAAGTATAATCGTATTGAGTAAAATGTTGAGATGGAGCTAGCCAATGTCAATATCTCACCTTGGTGGGTTCACTGGAGCCATTTGTGGGAGCTGGCACAGCATCCGCCGCCTTTTTCTTGGCACTGTAGTCCACGAACCCGGTCAGCCACTCCTTGGGCGTGTTCTCGTTGGGCCTACCGAACTTGTCCAGCTTGCCGGCGGCAATAAGCGCCTTCTTGGCTGACGCCTTCGGGCCCAAACCCCATTTGCGCGGGTATGTGTCACGCTCCATAATCACACGCTTGATCTTGGCCACCACACCATGGTCGCACGAAGACATGGTGGCTGTGGTCATCAGGGCAATGGCCAGGCATATAGCCTCGCCCTTGGTGGTGCAAATGACAATCTCCTGATCGATCTCGATGCCATCCTCGTACCGCAGAACGCCGGGCAACATAATCTTGGCACCATAACACACGGCATTCACCTAATTGAAGAGCAAGAGAATTGTTGCGTTAGATTCGAAAGGCAATTTTTGGATAGGATTCAGTGGGATTATGTGGGGGGAATGTCGTCTGAAATTACTTTGTCGAACGCGCGAGGTAAGCGCTGCCCAACATACACACATCAGTGGCGGTTGCTGTTCCCAATCATAGTCACAGGCGCTCGTGGGGATTGCAAGCACCTGCCGGCTTAATATCATGGGGTATTTGAGCTAAATCTGGCAGCGAAACTCACCGAACTGTCTTTCATGATGATGCGCTTGTGGTTAACCAGCAGACCCTCCAAAGGCTTGATTACACGACGCAACATTGTCTCGTCCTTGTGGTTCTCGTACAGCCACATGGCGTCCAAAACGTCGTGCATAGTCACCATGCCATCACGCTCAGACTGAATGCCGGACCGGACGCGACGCAGTTCCAACATCTGGCCACCGACGCCCAAGACCAGGCCCAGATGGACGCACATGGTACGGATGTAAGAGCCGGCCTCGCAACTAACCCAAAAAACACCTAAGCACGTGAGTAGTAGCCAGCGACGGAGGAGAGAAAGAGACACGGTGGTTTAAACAAATAAAATGTGCATTTGCGTCGGTCGGCAAATACTGGAGTTTTTTTTATACAAGCTAAATGAAAGCCAGACTGCACGCATGCCGGATTAGCACATTCCAGCGGCGATGCAGCGGTTCCTCAACAACCAAGAGATAAAGAAAACTGGACTCACCCATATTGCGGCTCTCATCGTAGTCCAACAGTTTGCTGTCGTAAACCGTACGCACTCTCAGCTGACGCTTCACGGCAGAGATAAGGGGCGGGCGCTGGAAGAGGGCGCCTCGCAGCTTCTCCAGACCCTGACGCACCTTGGCCACTGATTCGACGGCGCCGTGGAGCTTGAAGATGGCAACGTACTCCTTGCCGGCACTCTGCTGCGACTTCACCAGCCTAGTGGCCCGATCGATGCAAACAATCAGGCAACCTGCCGAGCACGCGGTTGCACATTGAGGTTAGGTTAGGTCCGTACGGGAAAACTCGCGCATCGTGTGGACTTACCTGTGACTTTGGGATCGAGCGTGCCCGAGTGACCCGTCTTCTCCACCTTCAGGATCTTCTTGATCCAGGCCACCACCTCGTGTGAGCTGGGGTTCGAGGGTTTGTCCAGGTTGATGAAGCCAGTCTTCATGTACTCGCGGATGTCGCGGTTCAGCGGCGACGAGCCATGGGCCAGCGGCGTGTAGTGGTTGGAGCGGATGTTGAGCTTATCGAAGTTCTTCAGCAGCAGCGGCCATTGCGAGGTGTCCAGCTCCGCGATCTTGGACGAGGGCTTGATGTGAAAGTTGCCCTGCTTCTGCAGCGTGCCAATGTCATCGGCGTCCACGGGCTCCTCCTTGATCTTCTTCTTCTTCTTCTCCTTGCGCACCTCTGCGGGAAGAGAGTCCTTGTAGTTGCAGCCCCATGTTCATTCATCAGTCCCAGCCACTTACCAACGTCGGCCATTTTGATGCGGTTGTCTTGTGCGAGAGGAAAAATAAAGACTTCTGCACGTGTTGCGCGCGAACCGAAAAAGAAAAACACGTGGAAATGAATAGTGTGGCCTGATGAAATGCTCTCTTTCTTCCTACAAAAATCTTATAAAACATTGAAAAGAAGCGGTATTTCTGCCTTTCGCGTTCTGGTAACACTGGTCGTGTCAAATGTCGCAATGGGGTAGAATTCCCAATCGGTAATGCTGTAAATTCCGAATCGGGTAGAGAGAGAAGTGTGGCCAAATGAATATTTGCGCATCTGGCCACACTGACTTTAAAAGGAAAACAAGTTAAATTATACAAAATTATTAATTAAACTCAAACCAAGCCATGTCGAGGCGTGGTTTATTGCTGATGGGCCAGTGCATGCCCTGCATCAAACAGAATGCCTCCAAGATCCGCATTCGCCGCATGGAGATGGACAAGAACCTGAATATGGTGAGAGCGCAGCACCCATTGCCGTGCCGCACGGAATTTAACCAGTGATCCTGCCGTTTTCCCAATAGTATTTCAAGAAGGACGAGTTCTACTTCGCCCACGACCCACAGAAGGTGTGCAAGACCGGCGACGTGGTTCTGATACGAGAGCTGCCCGAGCGGCTCACCCGCCTCATCACGCACGCCGTGGAAAAGGTGGTCTATCCGCTGGGTGACATAACCGACCCGCTCACCGGCAAGAAGGTGGTCGTGGGCAAGTACCGTGAGGACATTGAGATGGCCAACCAGCTGTTTGGCAAGTCTTCGAAGGCATTTGACTACGAGAAGGCTCCGCCGCGCGGTCGCCTGGAGGGAACCAAGGATTTCACGCACGGCGAGACCTACATCAAGTACCACGAGGATGGCAAGGACCAGCCGTTTGCTGTGTAACGTAGCATCTCTTGTCCCTTATTTGTTAAGTCTGTAGATTGTTTGATAGTAAAGTGCATTAATTTGTCATAGTTGAAAAGAGTTAGCAATCCTTGGGTACTCCTTCGTTGTATTTCAACCGAAAGATTTGTAAATTAGATAATTTATCGTGGTTTTTACAGGATAAATCTATGTTTGCTGACCTCCATCGGCCATTTTCCACCCACTTAAAAGACTGGTACTCGATTTCTCTACATATTTTATTTAAATGGTCGATATTTGATTTGCATTAATGATTTCTTTTGTCTTTACGTATAAATGTATTCATTTCAACTTCTGCTCTCGCTGATCAACAGTTTCATGATTTTCCTTCCTCATTTTCCTAATTTAAACGAGTTTTCCGTGTGTTGTGGTGGTGGTGTGCCGGGAGGAGAGGGCATTGCCGCCTACATTAATCTTTTAGAGCTCAGATTCGATCCATCCGTGCCATAAATTAAGCCGTAAACTAATCACAATCTCTTACGATCCTAAAGTTGTACTGGAGTATGGGGTTAGCCAGGTGAGCGCTGTCATCGCAAAGTTTTTGCTGCAACTGAGATTGTTGAGGAATCACCGAAGGAGTTTGCTTTGAAGTCATTGAAACCCACCTGCTCGAGGTCCTGGCTGGCGCGCAGCATAAAGTCGCGCAGGAAGTAGCCGCGGGCGGGCAAGTCCAATGCCAGGATGAGTTTGTTGTTGCCCAGCTGCTTGAGGATCTTTACCCCGCTGCTCGCCGGGGCCTCGTCATCCTCATTGAGCTGTGCATTGCCATTGGCCTTGGCTTGGTCCTCATCGATGCAGATGGACCACTGCAGTGGCTTGTTGGAGCTATCAGCAAAAATTTATTTAATTCCATGCGAAAATTGAGCTTTCTTCCACAAACCTCAGGTGGAGTTCCAGGCTACTGGCCTGGAGATAACGCGACACCGGAACTATGTAGCTTATGTTGAGGGAACTACCCGTGCTGGGACAGAACTGCTCCACATCGATGCTGTGATTGTACTGGGCCGCCAGCACGCAACTGGCCACGCTCCAACAGTCTAATTGGAAGGGCGGTAGCACCGTCTCATCCGCCTTGGGCAGTTGCTCCTGGGCTGTGGCAGGCTGAACTAAACGATAGACTGGATCTTCCTTGCTCGCCAGCACCGTTTCCGCTTCCGGGGGGAATTTCTTGGCCAAGGCATCGGTACTGTGCGAGTTCTTGCCAAGGAAACCGGGCTGCGACTCGGTCTCATTGCCAGCAGCAAGTGGTTGCGCCTCGACTATGTCAGGATCCGGTTCCTGCTCCTCGGCAGACTGCAGATCGTCCTCGACATGCTGTTCCTTCACATTGGCATCCACATTGTCCGGCTGCTGTTGAGTCGGTGGCAGTTCCTCGAAGCACACGGACTGGGGAGTTGAAAGATTAAACTTCAGTTCGAAATGGGTTTGGAAATTGGGAAGCTAATCCTCACCTGACAATTGTCGCTGACCGACTCATCCCCATTGCATTCGGCCGGCTGGCCAAAGATCGGCGTCTTCAGGCTCTTCTGCCTTATCCACTCCAGACTCCGTTGGCTGGCCGAGCGCCTGCCCAGGTTGGATTCTCGCAGACCCGCTCCCTGGTACTCGAAACCGTACACCCCGGTAATGGGATTGTCCACCGACTCGTTGGTGTTGCTTAAGTTCTGCAGATCCAGGGCATCCGGATTGTCGCTGCTATTGCGCACGGGCAGCGCTGGCGGCGGTACATCCAGAGCCTGGGAAAGCGGACTCTGGGCAGGCTCGGTGCTCACCTTGTTGGTGGTCAGGGCCAGATTGGCCGTTGGTGGCGACACCGTCTTGTACACGTTCGTATACACGGCGCCGGTATTGAACTTGCGGATGGCATGACCCGCGACAGCTGTCGGGGGATCAGAATCGGATGATGCCTCGGAGGCGGGACTGGCAATGGTGCCCACCACCACTATGTGCTCGTCCAGCTTCAAAGCGGACAGCTGCGACTGCTTCTGCAGCTGCTGCTGGGCGTCAATGTCGATGGAGTTGTTCTCAAAGTCCTGCGGCAAGGGAATGGCCTGCGATGGCTTTTCCGTGGAGGCCACCACCGACTCGTTGAGAGCCGGCGGCGGAAGAGTTTTTGCTGGCAAAGGAGGCAAATGGACTGCCGACGTCTGGAGCAGCTTTTGACCCGCCGCCTGACGCAGTGTCTCCTGAGAGATGGGCCACTTGGTCTTCTTGCTGTTGAGGGTCTTATTGCTAAAACGAGGCGCCGTTGTCGTAAAGGCTGCATGCTTGAGGCTCTGCTGCTGGGCACCGGCCACCTGTGGCTTTGTCATCACCGCCGCCAGCTCCTCCGTCTCCTCCTCACCGGGACGATACCCGGCCGGACGTGTGGTACTCGTGGCGTATAAGCGACCTGGCCATCCACCGTTGGTCTTATTCCGGAAGAGCGTATGCAAGTTGTGGAAGTAATGACGATCCTCATCGCTCAGGTGCGTCGACCCCGGCTCCGGACGGAAGATGTGACCATTGCCAAAGATCTGATAGCCGTCCATCTGCTGCTGCTTGTTGTGCTCCACGAAGTACAGCGTGGACACGGCCGCCAGGCTTTAAGAAATGGAATTAAAATCTGTTCCGAGAGATAATCAAATAAATGCTCACCAAGCAGCCATCACGATGATCAGTAGGAAGATGACTATCTGCAGGGAACGGCTAGAGCACACCTCGTAACCATCCCGACGGCTACTGTAGGGCTTGATGGCTCCACGCTCCGGCAGCAGGCAGCGGGGCTCCAGCAGATCCTTGGCACGCAGTTGCTGGCT